CCCCACCCCACCCCCGCTCCAAGGTGTCCTGGTTTTCCCAAATGAAAATATGGTCACCCTATCTGAATGGATAATGCAAAGTTCCAACTTAAATCCAGCCAATAATCTGTGAAAATATTTAAAATAAGCTTTTTCGAAAGAGGCTTATTAATTAATGTTCTCATGCGCTGGATTGCTTTCTGTGACAAGTAATGCAGCCAAGTTTTTTCGCATGAATACCAAATGAACTTAGAACATAGTTTTTATTCCATAATTTTCCTACCCTTTCAAATGTATTTGCTGTTTGTATTGGTTTACTAAACTGAAAGTAGTGTGATGGCAGAATTTGCAAAGGCACTGTTACTTGCTGTGTTGTTTGTGCTATTGACTTTGTTTGAATGACAGAGTTCCCACTTAAAGGTCTACATTTTTTAATTAGTGAAACAAAAAAGAATGATTTGTATATACAATGGGTATTACGCTGCAAGGATAGGCCCAGTGAAAGTGAAGCCCTTTTTGCCAATATATTTAGGGTCAAAGACACTTATAGAGTACAGTAGGCATAGCCTGGAAGAATTTACAAGCTTGAGGACAGTGCCCCAACCAAAAAGTGGAGAACTTTATGTTGTAGAGCTGTTTAACTGCAGGGGAGACTGGTGCACTATACAAAGTAGATGGCATCTCAAAGAATGAGCTTTATGTAAAAATACTGTAGGAATAACTAAAGCCACAAATGGTTAAACCTTATTTGCAAATATGTTTCCTATCAGGTCTAAGCGAGATTAGATAAAGACAACATACATGTTTTTTTGGAGCTTCTGTCTCAAATTCCTTATTTCACCTAAAAAAGTGTATGTGATTAAGGTGGTATCTAATCCTGAAAGAGGAAGGGGCCAAATTTCCCGCAACATTGTGAGAAGCTTTTACAAGGAATCCTTAAATATTTGACCCAAGGTATTTCAGGTTTCAGTAAGAGGAACTAATATGCAGTGCAGCACAAACATTGGGTAGAATGCTGGGATAATCAAAATAAGGCAAACTTTAAAAACTTGTTTTTTTTAGATAGACTTTCATTTTGAAGATATATACCGGTAAACAACATTCCTAAAAGATTTCTGCAGCGGTTTGTGTTTTTAATGTTATCTTGTTTAGGTTGTTTTCTGCTGCGAAATCATTTCAGTTTGACCAATTAGTTTCAAATGGGAACCCTGTGATTTATTAACTGTTGTTTTTCCTGCCCAGCTCCTTCTTTCCCTTCCCCGTTTGTCTGATGTCTTTGTTTTGATTGTCTCTCACACTTCATATGAGTTGGTGTCTGTATTAATAGTATGACCATAATGTCTGGCATGTATAATAACAGTGACCTCCCATGTTCCTGTCTCCCTCCTCCCCACCCCTACTCCTCTTGCCGCTCTGGCTCGCCCTTGCTTGTCTGTGTCCCTCTGTCTGCACCGACTCTCTCTTACACCTAACCCCAGAATGACATCCATAACAAGGACCTGCTGGTGTGTGCGTGTGCTGTGGGAGTGGCCACCTGTTTTGCTGCTCCTATAGGAGGCAAGTCTCCCGACTCAATCACAAGCTATTAGACAGCTTTGAATTCCTTAAAAAAGAAGCATAAACATCTGGAGCACATGTTCAAAAGCTATGAGACTGTTGAACAGTTTAAAGTCTTTAAATTGGAAATGATAGTGCTGTTTCCTAGGAGGAAGTTACTCTGTTTTTTTCTTCCCAACATGTAAATAAATTACACGAAATATGTCCGTACTCATGTACAATTTTTCTACAAACTGCTCCCCACTTACACTTGAACTCTAGCCGAACATATCCACAAGCAGGTGTATTAATTCCCAATGTGTACTAGCAAATATAACACTGAGCTCCTGATAGCAAACACAATTTTCCTCAGGCACAGGAACTGTCAACAGAAGGCTTATGACTGTGAACCTTTTACTATATGAGTAATGGCATGTTTGTGTCTTTCGGACTAAGTAAATCTCATCCCAGTGCAATAAAGGAGAGAATTCTTTCATGGCAGGCTAAACTGTTATCCGTCAAAAATAAGTGCACCCAAAAATGAAGCAGCTTGTAGAACCATCTTAAGCAGCTGTACTGTGAATTACTTGCTTTTTGTCTTCCCTTTACAACTTTACTTTAGCTGTTTATGGACATCTCTCTATTTATTTTATTCTGGTCGGAAAATAATCTTTATTTTGACTTGACTATGGTAGATGCTCAGTTCTTTTCTTCCTCAGACATTCTACTGTATATTTCCCGCTTTGTTTGTTGACTCCCTCACACTCTACTCTACAATACTTCAGTATGCACAAGAGCAGACTCATATATAATGTAATCAATTCTTTTCACCTTGCGCATTGTGCTTGGCCAGGACATCCTTATAAAACAAATCAACAGTTTGCAAATGTGCAAAGGTCAGTCACTGAAAAAAAGATCCCCTCCATATCATTCCTAAGTCGCTTTACTTAATAGGTATGAAGTATATGTGCTAATATTTTCCATAGAAATATTTTGATATAATCATGCCAACTTTTTTTTTTTTTTACTTTGTTCTCATCCTACACTACCAAAGCAAGTTGTTCCAGTAGGCATTGGGGCTATTCAGATGTAGCTTTGAAAACAAAGGTTGTGCTGTATGGTAAAGAGAAAACTCATTTTCTTTCTCTGGCATCTCTCTCAAACTCTCCTTTTTTAGTATTTTTTTCCATTCTTTTGTTGTTAAGCCATATGCCAAATGATTCCTATAGGTTCTACCTTTGAGTGGTCTGGCCTTGTGATGAATTTGCTGGAATGCCCACTCCTGGGAAGGTTTCCAACTTACTTGAAAGTTTTGTTTTTCTCTGTACTTGTAGACAGTCCTTTCAACTATTTAACGGTACGTTTCAAGTAGTCTGGAAATAGATGCTTCCAAACACACAGGCAGTAAAACTTGCTCTCAAAGTCATTGCTGACGTCTTTCCACCTTGCTGCTCCAGACCAGCAAAATGCAAAACTCCCTGCATTTATAGAGATAGTCACAGGCTTCATATGCATCTAAAACCTCTTCTTCTAAAACCCTAATGAAGCAGTAATGCTGTGTTTAGTTTATGACTGTTTTAACAGACATGGAAATGTTCTTTCTTCCATGATAGGAAGTGACAATATAAGTGTGTTATTTAACCAGGACCAGCTATGAAGCCTTAATGTCTTTCTCTCCTGCTTTTTGTTGCATGGATCCAAATCTGAAAAGGATGTGGTCAACTGATACAGGTTTCCTGTTTAATATCTTCGTCTCTTTGTTTCTCTTTCTTAATGACTTATTCTGCAGCTTTATTAACCCTCTGTCTGTTTATATTTCTCTCTAGTGAGTGTTACTTATTCTCTTTATTCTGTTTTGCTTCCTCACTGTCACTGTTCTCCTCCCGACCCCCATGTGGTTCTCCATCCTCTCCTCCCCACCTTGATCTTTTATTTCTTCTCCCTCTAACTTAAAATTGTCCTGTCTTACTTCCTACTGTCATCCTAATTTTCTCCCCTCATCATCCCTTGGCTTTCATCCTTGTCTCACCTCTTTTACCCCCTCCTTCCCCTTTGTTTTCTGTGTCAGTAGAATCCATATGGTTACACAGATATACTGACAGTCGGCTGTGCCGTGGGGGTGGGATGCTGTTTTGGCACTCCGCTAGGAGGTACTGTACGACCTTCACTTTTTCACTTTTCCAGAACTGCCTCACCAACCCTCTTTCTTCGTGCTTCTTAGCTTTAGGTACACTTTAGATATTTTCGAAATGTGAATATTTTGTACAGAGGACTAAAAAACTTGATTCAGCCATTTTAGATTCTAAATGCAAAGGTTATATGTTGAAATAAAGTAATTTATCAATAAAAAAAAAAACAGTTTGGGAAATAGACATTTTTTTGTATTGTTTTAAAATTTATATTTTTATAACTAGCTAAAACTATATGTAAAACTATCTATAAAATACTGAAATTAGAGATATATACCCTTTAAATAAGCCTTGAACTTGAATTTTATTCTGGTCAAGTCAGCTTTAATTGAAATAGAGGTAAATTGTGTTGAATTGTATCATATGAACAATTACATACATACAGTAGACATTTTTGACTCATGTGCCTAAAAATAAAACTAGTTTTGGAACTAATAGAAACTAAACTAAAACTAAGCATTGTTAAAATAATAGAAGCCTATAAAAACTAGCAAACAAATTCTGTAAGCAAATTTAGTTAACTAAATCCAAAACTAGCATAAACTTGTTACCAACATAGCCAGATCTGCCCATTTAGGCAAGCTTTCACTGAAAGCAGGCTGCAAGATGCCCAAAGAGGTCTCCATAAGAGGACCTGCAGCTACAATTAGAAAGAATCTGCATAGTATTCATGGGAGGTTTGCAGAGAAAAACATTTGTGCTCTTGACCAAAATATAAACTTTAGGCTGAAACTTTGTCAGAGAAATTGTAGACAAAGATTGTGACTTCTGGAAGATTTTTTTTTATACATATTAGTTCAGAATTAATTTATTTGGACATGGTTGTTATAAAATAAGTACAGCTTTACATGAAAAACCATCACCTGTAAAGCATGGAGGGGGGAGTGTCATTGCTGGTGGATATTAATGGGGTAGATCCTGATCTCTCCAAAAGCACAAATTCTAGCATTTATTAGAGGGTGCTAAAGGAAAATGTACAAACATGAAAGGATTGGCTGAGAGTCCCGAACAGTCAAAGTGTTGATCTTTAGTTATCTGAGGTGCTGTTGATTGACCTGAACCAGATTGAATAAACAAAATACCCCTAAAACATCTCATAATTGAAAATGAAGAGCAGGAAAAATAACTCTCCCCTGGCTGACTTGAAACGCATGTAGATGGTTACAGGAAGTAAGAAAACCTTTTTTTTATATATATATGGATGGATATATATGGATATTTATATATATATTTTATATTTTTCTTTATTTAGTGTGAACAGGATTAAAGTGTTTTTTTTAAAGGAACAAATCACATTCTAAAAAAAAAATACTAAAAAATTTGGCAACAACTTTTTAAACATATTTTAATTACCAACTGAATATTTAAAAAAGTGTGCTAATTTATTTTACATTATCACAGCAAATTTCAAAGTTAGATCAGATCAGTTTAGACCAATCTTTACTAAAGAATGTTTTGAATATGATTTTAAAAAGTAAAATTTTGAAAAAAGAAACTTCCTAATAAATAATCACCTAATCCTTTAGCAGAAATCTTCATTTATAGACAGTATTCATGAGAAGAGAGAAGTGTGTGTTATTATTCAGTAGTTTTTGCTGCAGTGCTCTGCCTTGTACTGATGGCTGTGACTGCGGCAGCATATTTAAGCTCAGTGTTAGACGACAGAATGAATCTGGGACTTATTCCATGCCACTCTAAAAAGCTGATTATCTAAAATGTATGAAACTTCTGGACACTTTCAAATCCACAAATAATTTAAAACCTATCATATTCTGATCTTTAATGTTTTCCCAGCCTTGTGTTGAGTTAGTTTTGATTAATCAACAATGGTTTTTGCTTGTTTTGTCTGATTTTATTGTTTTTTTATTTTTTTGTTTGTGTGATGGGTGTAATTACTTGCGTCTGTGTGTTTGTTAACTCCCCATAATTCTCCTGTTGAGTATAATCACTGGCTTCTGGACTCATTCTGCTTTTCTTAGACTAATCTCTGTTTTTTTTTTACCTTTTCTTTCCATCTCCCAATTACCTCTCTATCCGTCCTTATTTCTTCCTGTCTTTAATTCCTCCTCCTTCCTTTATTCCCTCTTTCTCACCATCCTCACCAGGAGTGCTGTTCAGTATTGAGGTCACGTCTACCTACTTCGCTGTGAGGAATTACTGGCGGGGATACTTTGCTGCCACATTCAGTGCCTTCATATTCAGGGTTCTCTCTGTTTGGAACAAGGATGCTGGTGAGAAGCTAACTCCCCACGAACACACACAATCTGCTGAGGACAGACCACTGAGGTTGCATTTTATAAAAATGTGTTGAGCTTAAAAGCTAAGTGGAATTGTGCTACACTGAGTAGCACACAGATTGATTTTAGGGGTGCCCCTGATTTTTTGTTTTTTTGTCTGACAAAAGAAATTTATTCGAGGTTGATGTTTTTCATTGTTTGGTTATTCTGTTATGTGCTGCTACAGAAAATGTAAATATATCTTATTGCTTTGGTGGTACAGTACAAGTGTCATACATTCCCATTTAATATCTTAAGACTCCTTAAAAGCTTTAAATATGTGTGCACTGCTAGAAAGCAAAAAAAAAAAAAAAACAACTAAAACTTAAAAAGTCCAATAATTGCCTAATTCCTCTTATGTGTCCCTGATGGAAAAGACTTTCTGTCTTTGAACTGACTGAGGTTGCTTGTCTGTTCAGTGATGACTGAGACAACAGAACAATGCTGTAGTTGGCAGGCAAGGATTTAATTCAGGAGAATAGCCACCATCCTGCATCTGGCCTGGTTCAAGTCCTGTTAAAATAATCAATCAGCCATGTAGTGCAGAGTTTTCTACTCTAATGATTTTAAAATCTCCCACTCATTTTTTGATTCCATGTTTTAAACTGTTCAAATCAGCTGTGACACAGACAATTTCAAAAGCATTGCAGTACTTCCTCTCATAATCCCCCGCTAAGCTAAAGGCTATGTTAAAGTCTGACTTTGGAAGTTTCTTTTCAATCAGAGCGTGTAAACACATGATAAACACAAATGTAGAAAATCGAAGAAGAAACTCTTCTCATGCATAAAAAATGACTGTGTGCTCTGTTAGAAACATTATTTCTTATCAACTTGGTTCTTCCTTTCTTCCCAAGTTTTAGGCTCATAAGAATAAAACAAGGATGCCACTTTTTGAGCACTTTGAAAAGGGTAGAAAACTTGACCAATTTCAGACTTACAGATGTGTAAATAGAATGGAATAGAATAGAATAGAATAGAATAGAATAGAATAGAATAGAATAGAATAGAATAGAATAGAATAGAAAATCCATTATTGACCCACAGAGGAGACTGCAGCAAACATGGACCTTTAAAGTGTAAAAAAATTACAAAATAAGTGGTAGAGCAAAGAAAATAACAACCGTAAATAAAATACCGTACTGTATAGTGTTCAAACAAAATCAAACTATAACCAATAATTTTTGACATTTTATTTTGTTTTAAGATTTTTGTGTTACTGTTTTCTGCTGCCTTAAGTAAGATTTATGTGGGGTGGGAGATGTTTTGGTGTCATTCATTCTGAAGTAAGTTCAGCACAGTCTGTGGAGAGTTACAAAAATACAAAGGATTACGACCAGGTACAGTACAACAGCAGTGAATGGGGAGTCACTATTGGCATTTACATTCTTGCACCCTGTACAGTGCATCAACTTTAAACTTACAGACCTTTATTAACCTCTGCCATAGATGTCTCACTATAAGATTTCAATAGTAATGGCTTAAATGTTTTGCTCAGATATGACCTTTCTTTCCTCTTCTGTTGAACTCTTTTTGCAATTATATTATTTTGTTCCATTTTTCTCAGTCACAATCACAGCTCTATTTAAAACCAACTTCCGGATGGATTTCCCCTTTGACCTGCAGGAGTTACCAGCATTTGCAATCATAGGGTGAGGATATTTTTGAATAACATCTTGTTCTGCTGGTTTAGATAAAAATAAATATATGCCTTCTAAGGATTCTTTGTATTTAGCCTTATGTTCTTATCTATGTGAAAGCAGTAGAAAAACTATCACCTGACTTCTGCTTACGATATGCTTTTTGTACAGTTTTGCTATCAGAATTAGTTAAAAAATCACTTGATTTTTGTCCCTCTAGCATCAGTAGTTAAAAGATGTTCTCATTGTTGGTTGAACTAATTTAAAAAAATGCCAATTTTTTTCATGTTTTAGGATCTCATGTGGGTTTTTGGGAGCATTCTTTGTTTACTTAAACAGACAGGTGGTTCTCTTCATGAGAAGACCAACGGCTCTCACACGTTTTCTAACCAAACAGTAAGATCCCAGCACAGATTCAATCACACACTTGTAACACCATTTTAAGAAGAGTCTGCAACAACTTCCAGTAGTTTCTATGGCCTAACCTAGACCCTTTCCCTAACCTTCCCATCACTAACACATACCCAGCTGAACATCCATTCACACCTTAGTCTTTAACCTAAATCACGACCTACGGGAACTTTACCTCATGGGGACCAGTCGACATGTCCCCATAATGTAGGATGTTGCTGGAAGATGTCCATGTAGAAATACCAGTCCAGCCAGCCACACTCAAACATTAAACATGGGCTCATTTAGTCCTCAGATACTAGTGGAGCACTTGGCTCTAAAACTGCATTAATTCTAGTGGAGATGGTTTCCCTGAATCGGAAACCATTTGTGCATTAAGATCCAATTCCTCTTAATGTATTTCAGCTCTGCTCTCTCAACTCATCAGTCTCAGAAACTGGCCAGGAGAGCAGCAAAGCCTTAACAACCTTGCACCCAGTTATTTGCTCAATGGGGAGATTCACTTATCCTCTGAGACTATGCAGTCAGGGAACATTAGGCTTTGCCATTAGAGAGAGCTGAGCTGCAGCACCAGGAGACTCATACAGTCAGTGCCGGTACAAACACAGACTCTTGTTTAAATGGCATGCAGTGCGGATGTTGTCTGAGAATACAATGTACCTTCTCATATGTCTGTGTTTTTGTGTACTTGCAGCCGTTTGATCTATCCAGGTGCAGTGACGCTAATCATTTCAACCTTCACGTTTCCTCCTGGGTTTGGGCAGTTCATGGCTGGAGAGGTGAGACCAAAAAACTGCAGACTTTAGTTGACTGGGTTTGGTGGAGCTCGCTCCATCCATCCATCCATCCATCCATCCATCCATCCATCCATCCATCCATCCATCCATCCATCCATCCATCCATCCATCCATCCATCCATCCATCCATCCATCCATCCATCCATCCATCCATCCATCCATCCCATGAATTATTGTGGATTTTTTTAGGCTTAATGGCATTTTGATGACATAATAAATACTTTATAGTAAGACTTATTTTGTAATGCACTGATCAACATGGAGTTTCCAATTTTTCCCCCATTTTTTTTTTATCTCTGTGCTGATAGCTGATGCCCAGAGAGTGCATCAACTCCCTTTTTGACAATTTCACCTGGACCAAAATCTCCGACTCGTCTGCGCCTCCTGGCCTTGGTCGCTCCGCTGCATGGCTGCATCCTCATGTCAGCGTCTTTCTCATCCTGCTCCTCTTCTTCATTATGAAGGTATCTCCCTTCTCTCCTTATAAGTGCATACATAAGGTATATTTAACAAAACAGTGTAAATAAAGAAGAAAAGTGTAAATCTGCTTGGACTGACTGGGCTATATCCAACCTTGATCCGGCTTTTGTGCTGTAGTTCTGGATGTCAGCAGTTTCTACCACGATGCCTATCCCCTCTGGCGCCTTCATGCCAGTGTTCATTTTAGGTAAGAGGATTTTGTAAAGGGAGCGCAGTATCTCATGCTGAGCTTCTGTTCAATTTGTGTTCACCAGCGTACTTTATCTCTGTCCTCAAGGAGCTGCTTTCGGCCGCCTCGTCGGGGAGATCATGGCCACTCTTTTCCCAAATGGGATACTATTTGATGGGATAGTTTACCGCATCCTGCCAGGAGGCTATGCTGTCATTGGTTAGCATCTTACTCCACACATGTGTTTCCATGTGCCTTGAGTTTTTTTTTTATTGTAGATTTTACCAAATTTTCTATTTTGCTTTAGGTTTGAAAGTGTTAAAATTGTTTTAGAGATAAAATGTGATTGTATGTTGACATTGCATTATACTGTAGAGTAACTGCCAGGTTCTAACTTTCTCTGGTGCACATCTGACACCCACTAAAATGTATACATCAATCTCTTTCAAATCTTCTTTGAAGTTAAACAAATGTATGGAATAAGCACGTTTGAACGAGGGTTTCAGATATGCTCATCATCTCCTATCTGAATGGTGATCTTAGATTTTGAACTGATTTAAGTTAATTATGATTAATACTTTGGTTTTTGACAGGAGCGGCTGCAATGACAGGCGCCGTCACTCACACAGTTTCTACCGCGGTTATCTGTTTTGAGTTGACTGGTCAAATCTCCCACATCTTACCCATGATGGTGGCGGTCATCCTGGCCAACATGGTGGCCCAGGGTCTGCAACCGTCTCTTTACGACTCCATTATCCAGGTGAAGAAGCTGCCCTACCTTCCTGAGCTGGCACTCGGGCACATCAGGTGAATTTCAAAGCCTTTATTTTTTAGTTTCCAGCTGTCAATGAAAGAAACACTGCATTTATTCTACTCTGGCTTACTTTTTGCAGCAAGTATAACATCTTTGTGGAGGATATAATGGTGCGAAAAGTGAAATTTTTGTCCTCCCAATCCACTTTTCGGGAGTTAAACCATCTGTTGGAGAGCACAGCCCTAAAAACCATCCCGTTGGTTGACTCTAAAGGTAGGTGTGACCCACATCAGTGTTTTAGGCTCCTGGATTTTTCTTTTAAAGGCTTAGTGCTTTCCTTTCTGCAGAATCCATGATCCTACTTGGCTCGATTGAGAGGACGGAGCTTCAGGCCGTCTTAGACTGGTGGCTCTCTCCAGAAAGACGAGTCTTTGAAAGAGGTCCTAGCTCTCCAGGCCAAGGCTCCAAACTCAGCTGGGAGTCGTTCACTTTCGTAGATGAGGAGGGAGAAGAAAGCAATGACAAGGTAGAAGAAATATAATGCCATAAAAATCTTAAACCTGTTCGAGGATGTTTAAATTCTCATACAAGTTTAAACATTCTTATAGTATTGTGAGCTGGTTTGAACCAATAGAACCCCAGCTTTGCTCAAGACCTTTTGAAAATACTGGAATTAGGACCTTATATGCCTTGTTATTTCAGCTAAACTCTTATTTGACAAAAAAGTCCAAATACATACTTTGAAAGAATGGAAGACGGCTTCCGTTTGCCATTCCAACAGCAAGTCCTTCAGAGTGTGGTGTTCACAATCATTACCGCAAATGTATGTAAAGGGGCAAGGATAACCTTTACTTAGTTACTTAATTAGTTCATTACTTAGTTATTCTCAAAATGTTTTAGCAGGTTGAGAAGTGCTGACAAAGGTATCGACATCAGATGCATGGTTGAGATGCTAAAATCAAAGATTCAGCCTGTGAAAATTTAACCTGTTTATCAAGTCCCTGCCCCTGCTTGATGGGACTAATTAATTATTAACTGGGGCTGTATGTAGGTAAGTTTAATATTCCTAACAAATAGGTAAAAGGGTGTTTTTCTCTCTCTTACCTTCATTGTTATACTTTTATGATTGCTAAACTTTGCAAGAAGTCGAATCAACTCAATCAAGGAATATTTTTTTTTATACCTACTGTATGTTTGATGTGTGTAAAGTGTTTCTTCTCTGTTTTTCTACATTTCCATTGCTTCCACTACAGACAGATTAGTAAGATTAATTAATCTTAATTAGCTGAATGAAGAGTTTCTGTCAACATCAAAACTTTCTAGTCTTGTCTGATTCTCGACTGTATCTATGTGTGGACTTTGACTGGGCTATTTCAAAACATGGCCCAAACCACACTTCTGTAAAATGATGTTTACATGGAATACAAACATTCTGGGAGCGGATTAATGGTCAGCAATGCAGAGGAAGCATATTATGCAATGCAAATGGCCTGAATTGGGCAAATAGAGTGAAGCAAAACTGCAAATAGTGTGTTAGAAATGTGAATAGAGCAAAACAATATGTCTGGATTTTGGATTTCATCCATCTGAACTTTTCTTATACTTAGACAACTTTTATTGTCATTCTGTATATACAGAGTGTACACAAAACAGAATTCCGTTAAGTACAACTTTCCAGACAGTTAATGAACATTTCCATTCTATAAAGTGCAGCAGTGATCAAATGTAAACCTTTTGGGAGAAGAAAAAAATAAAACATGGTGCAAAAATGTCAATTTGTATCTCGTTATCCAATCAGGGATATGGTTGCGTCATGGGGAGAAGGAGTGCAACTCAGAAGCAGCTTTTTGCATTCAAAACCCACCCGAGGCGTATATGTCTTCCAAAAAGGGTCAGCAGGTTTAACAATGATTACATGTTTAGTTAGGATGAAGAGGTATCAGAAAAAAAGGTGACAGAAAGTAAATGTTGCTTAGTGGATGTGAGAAGAAATAATAATGCTTTAAACTGTAATCTGCATTGTAGATTGACCAAACATTCTCTGACCTTGTTGCAACTCTCAGACTGTATCTCCTGTGCAAGAAGGATGTAATGGACCCATCCCATCCCCCTCCTCCAACGAGCCCTCCACCAACCACACAGGATCAGGTAAGACAGCATTAGCACAGGTTGGCCCATCACATGTCAGTCCTTCGTCGCTGACGGGTGTCACCCTGCCTTGTTCTTAGACAAACGCAAGCTGTCATCTGTCAGGAGAACTCTTCAGAGACTTTTCTCCTCATCGTCTTCATCCGACCAGCCTGAAACGCAGGTTACTTAAGATCAAACAACACACACATCCCTTTGACTTTAAAAACTCAAAGCAGTAGGGCATCAGTGATCTGCCGTTGAGTCGGCAGCAGCAGCTCAGATGGTGTTATCAGTCCAGCTGACCTCACTAATATGAGAGCAGCACAGCATGAAGCATGTACAACAGGGCTAACAGCTTTGAAATAGCTGAAACCTTGAAACCATCAGGGGTATGTCCCCGAACTTCTCACTGGTCAGTCTGTCATCTGTTTGTTTCTCCCTTCTCCTTCAGAAAGACATGCCTCCTCCACTAACCGACACAATGTCCCCTGAGGAGGTACGGTATAACACCTATACACCATTCACACAGCCAACAAAGTGCCAATGAACGAGTATTTTGATCAATAATCCAATCATTTCTCTCTGTTTTGGTTTTGGTTGGTTCAGATCAAAGCTTGGGAAGAGGAAGAACTGGACAAGCCAGTTGATATGGAGCAAATACGCATAGATCCCTCCCCTTTTCAGCTGGTGGAAAGGACGTCACTGCACAAGGCGAGTGCAACAAAGAACACATGCACAATGATATGCACAATTTGTTCTCATTATAATGCCTAATTTTCAAAAAGGAACTCTTTAAATTTTCATACCAACTCCTCTCAAAAACAGACTCAAAAATAATTTTATTTAGGTGCCAAAAGTATAAAATATTTGAGAACAAAAAAAAAAAATACAATTTCCATCCATCCAGGTTAGCGAATATCTCCAGCAGTATTTGGATTCTTTATCATCCTTCTGCATTGCCTTTAGAAATCAGTCTAGCAACAGATATTTGAAACACAAGTGAGATCAAATTGAATTCTTTAAAAAGATGCAATTCATGAACAACATAATTAATTTAATTGACATAATTGACTCCTCTATCTTGTGCATGTGCTGAAAATATGTATGGCAGGAAGCCAAAAATATCAAAAAAAGCTTTAGTAATTCAAATTTCTATACATAAGAATGTTTGTACATGTTTATAAAATCCTACCTTTGACAACAGAAATCCAGAGTTTTTATTTTTTTTAAGCTTTTTACTAGTGTCATTGAACTAGCCATTAATTGGGTGGTAATGCATGGAAAGTCCTAGACATACCGGTTGCCTGTCCATCACTGGGCAACAAAGAGACACACAACCATGGATGGGGGCAGTTTCGAGAAACCAGTTAACCTGGTAGTCATGTTTGAGATATTCGGAGGACACTGGAGAACCCACCAGTGTGCAGTCCTAAAACATTTCAGGACCACAAATAAAGATCAATACATATTGAGAAATAAAAAAAACTTTAGTAATGCAGTTGCAGTCATGAATAAAAATCTATGAGGTGAAATAAGTGTCTCCAGACACATTTTTCTTCATTTCTCATTATTCCCTCTGAAGGTTAAAGATATGAATAAGCATATTGATATAAATGTGAACTCAAAGTACCAGCCTTCCGTTATGTTTATTTAACTATGCACTTATTGCCTTGCAAAAGTATTTATGTTTTTTTTAAGTTTTTCTCAACGCTGCAACCTCTCATGCTGAAAAATGGTGAAAGCATTATGCTTTGGTAATGTTGTTCTCTAACATACAGGGAAGTAGATCAGGGATAATGGGATCAAAGATGGAGATAAATACTGGAGGAAATCCTATTAAAAGATGCTTACATTTTGGAGACTTTGAATAGCTTAAAACTGTGACTGTCACAGTTTCTGCTGGCAAAGTTACAAAGCAGCAAAACACATTGGTTGGAACTTGTTAATTTCACTGATGAATAAAGAGATCAGCTTAGAAACTCACAGAGACTCAGGAATTACTGTGAAGTCAACATACAAACAGATAATGAGGGGGAAAAAACAGATTTATATACAACTGAGAAGAATAGAATTACATACAAAAACAAGTGATGCAATCAATGGAAAACACAAACAGCTGCAAACAATGACAACAGTACAGTAATGCCAAGCACAGGGCCAGTGGTTTCTGTTGAAGCACATGTACATGTTAAAAAATGCAGTCAAAGCTCAGACTTTAGAAACTGTGGCAGGAGTTGATAATAAATGTTCACAGTAGCTCCAATCAAGACTGGAATCTCTTTTAGGAAATGAATAAGGTACATTCACACATTCTCTGTAAGACTTTCAGCTGTAACTCCAGAGAAAAACATGTATTACAGACTCAGAGGTGTTGCAGCAAATCTACTTTAAAGTTTTAAACTTAATCATAATTTTGTAAAAACCAATAAATAGACAGGATCCTCCAAAAAACACTGATGCTGTTGGTTGTAAAATCACAAATTTATAAATACATGTACAAGGACTTAATGTATTATCAATAATGAAGAGACCACAGCGTGAATACAACTACCTTTTTTGGATAAAAGGTAGAAATACATTCTTGTGGGGATAAAAATTTTGCACATTTAAGAAATACTTTAAAACTATACCTATGATTATAAAATGAAAATACTTTTTTTTATCGAACACAATTTGTTTTTTTAATAAATCTGTTACACAAGTCAATGGTTTAAGATAATGAGGACCAGGTATGTTGGTTTTATGAAGATAGAGAGATGTGAATTAAGACATTTTGAACCACAGGATGTTTGCTGGAATCTCAGTCATAATGTTATTTAATGAGCTTAAGGCAGCAGCTTTATAGGAGTGTTATACAGTGTGTTTTACCTGTGGACAAGCTGTTTAGCAGTGCGATCATGCAAGCTGAAAACTGTCACAGTGCATGAGATTTATCACTGACTGGATCATGTTGTCCTTCCTGTCATTACTCAGACCCACACTCTGTTCTCCCTGCTGGGTCTCAGTCACGCCTACGTCACCAGCATCGGGAAGCTGGTGGGAGTCGTGGCGCTCAAAGAGGTAAAGTCACTGCTCATGCTTTCCTTTTGTGCTTCTTTCTTATCACCTTTCAGTGTGGCATCAGAATGAGCTCTGATGATCCTAGTTTGAGTGCAGCTGTGGTGCCTCTTCTATTACAACTACTTTATCTGTTTTTAAGCTTTTCACTGTTGTTTTTATCATGTGTCATCATCTTTATTTTGGCACGGTCTGTCTGGTTAGCAAAATACAGTTTTCCACCTTGGTGAACATTAAAGATTCATTCTATTCCATGCATTTCAGTTCATGGTAATATTATTAAAAAGTAAATCTATTTGAGTAGTTCCATTTTAAAAGTTATATATGTCAACAATTCATTTCACAAAGTGACACATTTCATGTTTATTTCTATGAATTTTAATGATGTTTTATTGAATTTTAATGATTTTATAAATACCCTGATAAATACCTGATTAACTAATGTTGAAAAAGCATTTCTTTAAACAGAAATCTCCCGTTGCTAAATAGTGCTGTACTTTCCGGACTATAAGCCGCTACATTTTTCCACTCTTTGATCCATGCAGCTTAGGTGTGGCTTTTCTGTGGATTTTTCCTTATCACCAGGGGGTGGATGTCCAATTTGGAAATAAAAAAAGAAGGGGCTGATTTTTATTTAGCACAAGCACATAGTAGCAGCAGACTCGACGGAGAGCAAATGTCCCAAATTCACTAATTTAGAGATTTTAAAGGCATTAAAGCAATGAAGAAACTGTAGAGCTGAAATAACGTTTTAAAAAAAGCCACATCTTTCATTAGAAGATCTTATTGCCTGAGCCAACTAACAAACGCTAGCATTCTTCTTCATCCCTAATTAAGGGTGATATATAGAGCTACCCCAACTGGTTTGATGGGGGACCATTCAGTAGATATCAGCCGCTTATAGTCTGGTGTGGCTTATATATGTACATTTACTTCTTTTTTTTTTTTTTTAAGTAAGTGAGTGAAGCTTATAGTGAGGGGCGCTCTATAGTCTGGAAAATACAGGTAATTCCATATACTATTTAGTATTCACAGTATTCAGTAGTTGCTTGATGATCCTTCTGCTTCAACTACTGCATCAATACAGGGTGGCAAAGAGATGATTAGCTTTGAAAGCCAGGTGGCTTTAATTGTGTTTCTCAACTCCCATTACAAAGATGGGACCAGATCATTATATAACACTATAAGTCATTATAGCCAATTCTCAAATCAAATCACAAGTCAAGACTGAACAGACTTAAGTTGGGTCTAAGTTTTATTGTTTTTATTTTCAAGTAGGTTATAATGACATGAGGTCAGTTTTTTCAGTATTTTATCTTTACTATTAATGAGAACATCAAGTCATTCAATTTAAAGATGTTCAAGTTGGACCTAAAACACATTGAAACAGCACCAACAAACACTGGTGTCTATTTAATTCTAGGCTAGCATCTCCTTCTACTGAACCAATCACATGACAAAGAACATTCTGTATTATGTAACTTTGCTAAAATATATCTTGCCATTTGAGTGAGGGCTTGAGCCATGACAAAAACTTTGTTTAAAAAGGTAACAAATAAATACATATAAAAAGTACTTTATATTATTATTTAAACAATAGGGCAGCAAATAGAAATAAATAACAATTTTGTGAACAATTCATGTTACTGAATTCATACTACGATACCTGATCCAGCTAATGAGTCAATATCGCAGCTGGTTTCCGATCCAGATATCGGATTGGTGCAGTTCTAAAAAATTACATTTTGCTTAGAATCATAAGCTGTAAGTCAGACACCAACTTTAGAGTCATTCTCATTTACTCCAATAAGAAACAGACCACTTATTCAACCTAAAATATCAGTCATTTTTAAATGCCTCGCTGCATCCCCCTAGACATTCAATAAATCACATTATTCTGAATGCCATATCTTTCATTACTTGTGCATCCTTTTGTGCCATTCTTTTTCCTTCCACTCAACTTTCCTTCAATATGTTTTAACTGAGCAGCCTGTGAACAACCAGCTTCTTTAGCAAGCAGCTTTTGCAGCTTTCCCTCCTACGTACGAATGGTGACAATGACGTTTCTGTTGGATAAAGTTTACTGTTCTTCCAATGAATGATTAACCCCAAACATTACAGACGTCTGCATTATTGGTCTTGGCACATGTTTAGATAGAGAAACTATTAGTTATAGACATAGACATCAACACTACCAGAAATAACACTGGAAATGCCTTCCTCTGTATATGAGTCTGTTGTACATAAACGTTTTACATATTAAATTCATTTGCTGACATAAATACATTTTAAATCAGCCATTAAACTTTACATTTAAATTGTGTTTCCCATCTGCTTAGATATTCACCTTTCTGATCTCATCTTCTCACTTTTACTTTTTTTCTCACCTCATCTTACAGTTACAGAAGGCCATCGAGGGCTCTACTCGCAGCGGTGTGAGGCTTCGTCCCCCTCTGGCCAGCTTCAGAGATGCCAGCAGAAAAACAAAGAAGCACCAGCCTCCCTCCTCCACCGCCTCCTCACCCACACGGGACAGAGACATGTGGGGAGAGGGGAGCAGAAGAGAGAGTGAGCTGCTGAGGAGGGAGTCCAGGGAGGATTCCCAGGGAAAGACTGTATCTCTTAGAGGAGCTGCGGGGTCTGAAACAGTCCCCTCATCTCCTAGCAGTGCGGGAAGCACCAGTGGAAGCTCCACCAATTCAAGAGGAGCTGAAGGAGTGTCTCAGGGGGATCCGTCCCCTTCAACATCCACCTCCTCCCCTTCTCCTCCTGTTTCCCCAGTGTCACACACAAGCCAGGTCCTGACACTGTCCTCCCTGCAGGAGGAGAGGGAGAGTGAAGAGTCGGATGAACAAGTATAAGAGGACTGGATGAAATGATGACAGACCTTTACTTGTTTAGTCATTTTACTTTTCTTCATCAGAGACAGAGCCGCAGTCTGAACAAAGTCGGGATTCAGGATTCCTGCAGCCCTTAATGACTCTCAGCCACCAGGGCGAACTGGTTTATACGAGCCTATCTTGAACTATTTAGTCCTGGATAGTTTTTATTTTGTTCTATTTTCACAGAAATCTCACTTTTTCCACTTCTGAATCTCAGGTGCCTTCCTGTTTCCTCACACAAATCACCAATGTTTCGCCTCCAACCATAATCAGAGGTGAATGGCTGAACGTTGTTTGTATCCAAATCTGTTCACTTCATTATGTACATGTGAGCTGCTGACCGCTATGAACTGTGCAATATTGAAGTAATACTATGTACCTATTAACAAATAAATTAATTTGGCCGAAAGGTCAAATAGATCATGCATTTAAAGTTTACTGAATCAAAAAGCTATTTAAAAATCTAAATTAATTTATTCATATATTTCCTGTATGGTTATTTAAATCATTGTTACAAGTTTCTAATCTGTAAAGAATAATAAGTTCTTATGTTGTCTATTAAGCTGTTTGAGTTTAGAGCTGAGTTGGTGTGCTGTGATTTTTTTTTTCTGACACATAGGGCTGGAAAGCATTTATTGCTCATGAGATCCAACAAAAAGTCTTAAAGAAGCAGCAGACAACTCAATAAATACTGTTAAGGAACACCAGAAAAACACTGAAACACCTTAAAAACATCTGAAAAACTGTTGCCCAGGACCAACTTTAAAGTTTATTGCCTATTTGAAGCAAATTATGGTTTTATATCTAACTCATCAATATTGATAATGCAGTTATCCTAATAGAGGGGAGCCTGTTTAGTAATACTGAAAATATTAACCTTTTTATGAGGTATGTTAAGCTCCTGTGTCTCTATTTTCATACCAGTTCTGAAATCTAACATTGAGGGATCATCTTTAAAGTGTGACACATCATTGTGGACAAATAAGAAACACCCAAAGTTCATGTTAACATCCATCCATACAGCTTCTCCCACTTATTCCATCAGGGTCCTGCTGGGCCCAGTGCCTGTCTCCAGCAGTCTATGGGCAACAGGCAGAGGATAAATAAAATAAACAGAATACAATCTAGCAGGGTGGAGAAGTATGAATTTCCAATCTCAAAAATAAAAAAGGAAACCCTGCCTGTTCGGATGTGTGTATATGTAGGCTGATGAAGCATCTGGTGGTGGTAAAAACTTTAAATGTAGTGTATGAAGTGTTTTTATTTGACGTGATGCATTTTCTAAAGAAATCCTCTTTTAATTATGAACTCATTATTCACCAGAGCAATAAGAAAATGCTTGAGTATTTCCCTTCCCTTCAGGCTGAGCTTTGTCACGTTTTACTGTTACAAGTCATTCTAGTGACAGGTCAGGGACTCCCTCCCAAGGTGGATTAGATGCTTACAGCTGTGGGGTAGGCTTCAACCCCCTCTTTGAAAGGGTGATTTAGCCATCTGATTGGTTTCCATGAAATGCAATATTATCACCTCAATGTGTTACTTGAGATACGAGCTCAATGTTACAAAAATGGCATTGCACTATTATTGTTGATTATTAACGTATTGATTTTAATGAACTCAAATGATTTTGTCTCCATCATGAGTTTCTTAAGCTTTAGAAAATGAACATCGACAGAGACGCTGCAGCTTCATTTCAAAACAAAACCAAAAAAGACATACAATATTTGTCAGAGTGAAACTAAACAGAGGTTGGTTGTGTTTTAGTTTTCTTTGTAACTTTATGTAAACTTGTCAACTACTGTGGTGAGCCTCCCATACCCCAACAGCCAGTGAGGTAAGTGAATACTATCACATTACTTCCAGCCTTTGAGTATACAAACACTTTTGTGTTGTGAAGGTCAACAATGTGTTTCAGGCACTGAGTCCTCTGTGAGCTTAAAAAAATAAGCCATTTATCCCAACGGAGGGCATTTGTTGTTTATATTCTCCTGACACACAGTTCCTGATAAGGATGGAAGAGGAGGGCTTTTTGAAAAGCACGGATTACACTGCTGCCAATTCCTTGTTGACTTCTTTTCTCCAGTGTCTGTCAGTCATAAATAAGTCGAGCAAAGACAGAAACAGATAAACAACTGAAAATGTGTTAAGGCTCAAGAGGAAAATAGAGGAAACCCCTGAGATTGTAATTATTTACAGCCTGTGAGAAGAGACACACACGTATCCACAAAAAAGGCAATTTGTTTCATCTGTTTATTTGCTCTTTCTCCACCAAAAAAAAAAGTAAAAAAAAAAAATATGAAAGGAGGCTGGTAGAAGCGCCAGAGAAGGTGAAGGAGGCTGTGACGTGCAGGGAAAAGGAGGGGAAAGAGAGAGATAGCTGTAGACAGCAGAGGGAGAGGAAACCACATGGAAGAACTAAGCAGTGGGAACCTTTCAATAAGCATGCATAGCTGTGTAATCAGTCACACTGCCTTGTGTAAAACAAATGCAGATGTTTATAGAAGTCATCTGATTTTCTTACAGCTTTTTTTATACAGCCGTTTGTGCGACACAACTCCAAATTTGATGTATCAGATGCTTTCAAACCCTCTTTGTTTGGTGTGAAGAGTTTATATTTCCAGGCAGTGACTTTTTCAGAAAGACGTATGACTTTTTTTTTTTTTACTGTACACATACAGACGTACACACGAATACAAGTATACAGAACGGACAGAGAGGCAGAGAAGGAGAAAGACAGAGAATAGGAGGCAGATGACTCCTATTTGACCATGCTGCCTTCAGAGAAGTTACTGTAACTCATCAAAGACGGCAGTGAAATTACACCCAGAAAAAAAAAACTGGAGGAAATCAAGTTAGGTTTCCAAAGATATGATCAGTAAACCTTTAACATCCAGAGAAATATATTTGGTTTCATGTTATTTCTTTATTCATTCATCAAGATAAACAGATTTTCTTAAAAAATAAAGAAGAAAAAAGCAACAAAACTCAAAGAGAAGCAGTGTCTTTTCTGCAGCTTTTATTCTGAAATGCCTTTTTTAAAGTAAACAGTAAAGCCCCAAAAAGCTGTGAGGCTTTAACACTTAACAAAAGCCTCAATCTTTAACTGCATTTTATCTTAAACCTTAAGAAAAAAAAGACACTGCTCCTAGGTGAGTCAAAATCTACTTAAAATAATAGCCTCTGTACATCATCATGGTGTTTCTCCCTGCCAAGTTATCATTCAATAAATAAATTAATATGTGTCATGGTGTAAAGACTTCTGTTTGTTGTTGGTTTGAGCTCTCAGAAGATGTGGTCACATCTTCCCAGAATACATTTCTGACTATAATGCCTTGCAAAAGTAGTCACTGCTAATGTCAGTGTATTTTATTTGGATTTTATGGAATAGACCAATGCAAAGTTCTGCTTTGTTGGGAAGCAGAAGAAACAAACGTTACCTTAACATAGGCAGATTTTTGACCAGTCCGCCCTTAAGAGTAATTACTGTAAATATTGTTTTAACAAATAAAAAAAAATTCAGTAAAGGCTGACGCTGATGTTTTCAAGTCTTTTTCATATATTCTCCAGTTTGGACTTTGACTAGGCCATTCTATAAAAGACTTGCCTTCATATAAACCATTATGCTTTCGTTCTGGATGTATTAAACGTACATGCAGGAAATCCTTTATCTTGCTGGACACTAGAACTCTGCCGTATCTCAAATCTTCCCAACCTCTAACAGGTTTATCTCTATCATTGTTCTATATATAGCTCCAACAACATGACGCTGCCACCATTGTGTGTCAGGCTGGGAAGGAGGTTTTTAAGGTAATATAGACAATTTTAGTTTTCTTCCGCACACTTTTTACATCCAAGACACAAAGTGTTTTTTGCCTCATCTGACAGGGACACCTTTGTCCATGTTCACTAGGTCCACCACATATATTCATAAATATTTATTCTTCTCTTTCCACCTTTCCATAAAAGCCAGATTTGTGTACTTCATGACTATTTATCATTTATCCTGTTGATGCATTCTTGCCCTGAGCTGTGGATCTCTACAGCTCCTCAAGAGCTACCAATGAGTTTCTCGTCTGCTTCTCTCCAGGTCTATCATATTTGACCATTTTTAGAATTTGTGTTTAAAAGGTGTTCAATTTGATGTTCAAAGCTTAGGATTCCCACTTAAATTTAGTTCAAGATTTCTTGGTTGTAATGTGACACAAAGTTAACAAAAGTTTAAGGGACATGAACACTTTTGCAAGGCAGATTTCAATTATTTCATATTAAGAGCTGCCATATTATCAGTCTCTTATCTCTGTGCAGAATGGAGGTCAAAACCAGAACAAAACAAGCCAGTTTACAGCCCTGACACCTATCCTAACTGATACTGGAAGGGATCTCAACAAGGCAGTAGAAAAATAAATATTGTCCCCCAAACATTGCATAAAGAAGCACTCAATAAATAAATCCATTCAAGTCAATAAACTGCAGGTTTTGTCTTCAAAATCTCTCACAATCCTCAAAGTGAGAGAAGGTGTTTCCCAGACGGTATAAAGGTGCGAGCACCGAGCAGACATGCGCAGTTGTTTAACTTCCTCTGCTGCTGCGAAACATGCTTCCTCTTCCTTCATTGCAAAAATTTAAATCAATGAAAAAAAAAAAAATACTCCTCACACATCACCACCACGCCTTGAGGGAACTGCTTTACAGCAGCAAAGATGAGCAGGAAGACATCAGTCTTGTTTCGCCTCCAGTCTTCAGTCCTGTTACCTGAATGAGCTCAACCAGCTACTAGGTTTTAGTTTGATTGATTGCTCTGTCCTTTTCTTATTTAACTGTGCAGCAGTTAACAAAACAAACAAAACAAATAAGACCCAAAGAGGCATAGAAAAATAAAAAAAAATCATACTTTAAAAGAACAGCCGTGACAGTGACTGAGAGGCAGTTTCTACACACTATATTTACATCGTAATGGCAGAGCTGGACTGTTCTGTTTGTTTCAGTGTTTTTTCTGTGTTTTTGAAGGCCAGTGTTTCCTCTGCCTATTGCTGGTTACAATTTAGATATTTCCATGTCCATGTGTACGATGTGGGTCTAAGTGACCCATCAGTGCTCGTGCACCAGCCCGCGTCGTCCAGTACATTCAGAATAGTGGTCAACATCCGCAGTGTGTCAGGATCTATGTGAAAATAAACAAGCAGCTGAGCGTTCCTGTGTCATGAAGCGACTCGGGTGGTTTTGGTTGTCACAGCAGGAACTGCATTAACGCCAGCAGTTCAAAGGCAAACTCTGATCTGCTGGATTGCTTTAGTGCAAAAACAAAACAACACACCAACAAAAAACCCAACTAAAGCCGTATATGCAGCCGTCTCCATCAGGGAGCTCCCACCTGGGATTGCAACAGTTCAGTGCAAAGTCTCTTACAGTGCTGTATAGTTACAGGTACTCTGTGGTACTCTGAAGGACATGCATACAGAGAGACAGAGTAGGAAGCACGCTATCTTACAGTACAATCCTCTTCTGTGCAGGGTCGGGTGTGTG